GCTGTTGGCAAGTGTCAGGAGTTGCGTTTTGAACAGTTTGAGGTGCAGTTTCCCAGAAACCTCTGCACCTATCTCCTTGAAACCTGGCAGGCTTTGTGCCCTCAGAAGGGACTACCACCCCTGCAACTTTCATCCAAATCAGGCAAGAGATGACAAAGTTTTAGGCATTTTCATGATTCCCCCATTATAGCCTATGGGCGAATATTGGAAGACATCGAAACAGTGAAATAGTTTCAACGAAACAAAACGGGACAGTACTTCAAAATGAAACAACAAAACAAAACACTGTCCATTTGAAATGGTGAAATGGATGTCGAAACTAAATGATGGTGTTTCGCACAGCCCTAAACAGTGCTAGGCATGCCCTGGCACACACCAGAAAGCAAGTACATGATATTGTCAGCATTCATTACACATGGACCAGTGGGTGTGGGGTGTGCTTCATAGTGGCATTCTCTACCACTGTCACTGCAGTGGAGACATGCCTTCAGCATCTGTGTTCATGTAATAATTCTTAATTTGGAGGTATTACAATATTAATGTGGGCATCTATATAAAATATTATGAAAACATAACTACATTGGCTAAGCACTAGAATTACCACTGTTGTTGAGGACATGACTAGATAGCTTAATTTATTTTTATTGATAATTTTTTGTTTAGTCACAAATGGCATTTCTGGAAACAAGTTTCTTGGTATAAAATTTAGGTTTATAATCCTAGAAAGATCTGGGGTTTAAAAAGGCTCATGATTTTAGATTCAGCGTTAGTTCCACTGACTTCTGCCTGGAGCTGGCTACCTTGAGACTACAGGTATGAATAAGTGTTGGAAAAGCTGACCCTACTAACTTCTAAAGAAAAAAAAAAAAATGGAAATCAAAGGACCTATTCCATGTTATGGGTTAATAGGCTGCAAATTTTCACCTTAAATGCTAAGACTAAAAGATGCAAAAAAAAAAGAATCTGAAACTGTAAATTTTTCTCTCGTGCATTTCTACATTCTAAATTTAAGAATATGCTAGTGGGCACTCCATAACAAATAAGTTGAAGATAAAAGAAAAGCAGTAAAATTCAAATGTATAAGATGTTGCCTGCTTAGCTCATCATATAGTCATATTTCTTTTCTATCTGAAATAGCAGTAAAGACCACTGGCTGTGCACATTCTGATAATTTGTGCTGAGCTCTGCATATTTGTAGCTAACAGAAATATAGTTTAAAGCGTTTGATAGTTTTATAAGCTGTATTTTATTTCCAGAGGACCATATCATTTAAAAAATAGGTGACCTTGATCTAAGATTCATTGAATGAGTGAATAAATAAATAAAACAGATCTTATTAATTTCCAGCATAATTCCACTGGTTTTAGGGATGAATTTGATCTTTTTACCACCCCATCTTTTAAGTTTATGAGTTTTACAAAATTGTTCTCAATTTTTTGCTTAGTTACTCCAGGGAGATTTTATTTTTGTTCATGTTTTGATATCTAATTTATCCCCTCTCTTTCAGTTTTATGTAGGTAAAACTCTGTGAAGCAATGCCACTGTGATTTGCTAGATTTTCTTATGGTAGGAATCCAGTACATTTTGAGTTTGAGTGGCTTCCTCTGAAGATCAGTGATTGGGTGGTAGATGGTCCTCAAGACATGACCGACACTTTTTCCCCTTCCTCCAAAGAGGATTAGCTCAGTGTACTAAATATTGCTAGCCCAGTGTATCAAATATTATAATCTCCACCACCTGCATGTCATTCTCCATAAATGTTAAGAGGTGTTTGTTCATAATTTACAAGGTTATAAAATACTTGCAACTCCCTTTCTGGTCTCCTCAACCATACTGCCTTCAGCAGAAATTGCTGTTGCTGTCTAAAAATGTGCACAACTAGTATCTTTTCCTGCTATCTCTTCCTTCATAAAGAAGAAATAATTCATTGCTATATGACAAGAAAACTTGTCAACTGTTTTTCCCACTTCATTTTAGTTCTTAATGCTAATTAATGGACCACCAGCAGTAATTACATTAAAAATTGTGTTGCCACCATTTCCCACCCTTGACACTAACCTGCTGTGTTACCTTCAACATGTCACTTAATCTGTGTGTCCTAATCTCATAGACATTAAGGGCTGGAAGGGACCTCATGAGATCACTGAGTCCAACGCCCTTGCCATAGGCAAGAAGTCTGCTGCGGTCAAACAATCCCATCAAGATAAACATCTAATCACCTTTTGAATGAATCCAGAGTAGGTGCTTGCACCACCTCTGTGGGGACTCTATTCCAGACCCTGGACACTTGGACTGTAAGGAAATTTTTCTTTATGTCCAGTGTAAACCGGCCTTCCAGGAGTTTGTGGCCATTAGACCTTGTTATTGCTTGGGGGGCCCGAGTAAACAACTGTTCTCCCAGGTCTTGTTGTCCCCCCCTTATAGGCTGCCACCAAGCCACCCCTGAGCCTTCTCTTCTCCAGGCTGAAGAATCCCATGTCCCTCAGCCTCTCCTCATAAAGCTTGCTCTCTTTGCCTTTGATCCTTTGGACTCTCTCGAGCTTATCCACATCCCTCCTAAAGTTGGGGGCCCAAAATTAGATGCAATACTCTAGCTGTGGCCTCAGTAATGCCGAGTACAGCGGGAGGATGATGTCCCTGGTTTTGCTTGAGATGCATTGATGGATGCATGCCAGTGTTTGGTTTGCTTTGCTGGCCATGGCATTGCGCTGCTGGCTCACATTCATCTAAATAATTTGCAGATATGTATGCCAAAGATAAATACTGAATTTTCCTGTTACATTATTTTGAAATTTAAGGATAAAAACATAATATAAGCACCAAGTTTTATCATCCTTATTCACTGTCTGCATCAGAGAGAGCCTTCAGTACTGATGTCCTTCTAATGAAGCCTTCCCATGCTTCAGAATTTCACTGCATAAAACCAGTTTTTGGTTTTCCTACAATGTCTGCTGATAAGAGTCTAACAGGGTCATATCTTCTTCCTTTTACCCCAGTAAGAAGGGGAGCCAACTTGCTCCTCTTGCAGGAGAGTTCTGAGGAACCAGGCATGATGGTTGCTCATGTGTTTGCTCTCTTAAGAAACCAATGAAATTAATGATATTTGAGGGCTGGCAAATGTAAAAGAACTCTACCCATTATGGTTTATACCACTCTTCACTTAAGAGCCATCATACATTCCATAAAATTACCACGCACACACAATCATGATTTCTGGATCAATTGTAACAGTTAAAAACAAGCATCAATCAGGAACATTTATGTTAGAAAATCAATAGCAGCATCTTGTCATCTCGCCAGATTTTAAAACTAGTAGTTCTTATAGGCACTAGTCAAGCAAATGATTACTTGTAAAGATCAGCTCTACACTGCAGTCTGAAATATAACCAACATTAGGAAACATCCAGGGAGGAACACATTACACTATTTAGGATACCACCAAAAATATTCTGCCTTTAAAGCCTGACACAAAGGCTGATCTCAGCTGTCTTGATGAGCAAAGAGGAGGATATTTAGATCCCAGCCAGCACAGGGTTTTAAAGACAATAATCATAGACACTGAAGAGTAGCTAAAGCAGTGTCACAGATACAAGTACACTGTTGTACTCACACCAGCTTTCTGCCGTTCTTCATGAACTAGCTCATGCTACTGAGTTTCTTTAAGGCTAGGGACAGACATTCAAAATGCCTGAACCTGAACTGATTCAATCTTTGCAGGTTAGTGTAACCTGGCTAGGCCAAACCAGTTCGTGATCTTACAGACATCCCGTATGGGCTGAAGAAATGTTGGCACATGCCTGCAGTGGCTCAGGATAGAAGCCAGGGGGCACTAGAGAAGCCCTCCTTTCCTTTCCATAGTGCTGAGCTGAGGGGGGGCATGGCCAGGCCGTGGCAGGATGTTCCCACCTCCTTCCCAGCTGCTTCTGACCAGCGAGGGAGCCAGCAGGGAGTTGCACAGAATTTAGTTACACAACAGGGAGTTACACAGGGAGTAACACAGCATTTAGCACCCCATCAAGAAAACAAAAGCCTCTCTCATTAGTTCAAGCTCTTCTTAAACAACTTTTTCCAAGGAAGGAATGGAGGGACCTTACCAGCTGACCTGTTGATTAGCTTCAAAAAGCCCTAAGTGGGCACTGTCCCATCTGTCTTTATCCTGTCTGCCTTAGACAGACACCTCTCAGCATTAGCTAGCATACCACATGCTGGCTATGGTCGGTACTGTGGAAGAGGGGAGGAGGCTCCCTGCTTGAGAAAGGAGTGGTGGAGCAGGGGGAAGCCAGGCAGAGGAGCGGGGCCAGCTCTGTTTTGGAGCAGAGCCCTGCCCAGGGCTGCAAAGCATCTGGGATGCTGGGGGACTCTGGTTTAAGTGAAACCAGGAAGGGGTCTGGGACAGACATTGCATAAACCGGTTTGACCTAAATCAATTAAGTTTGATGCTACTTTCAACCAAGTTTATCTCAAACTGGTTTCAGCCATTTTCAGACTGGTTTTGTGCACTGAATGTCTGTTCTGTTACAGGTTTAAACCAGTTTCTGATCACTTTAAACTGGTTTATGTGTCATGTGAGTCCCTAGCCTAAGGGTAGAGAGTATTAGAAATAAACCGTTTCTGGAGCATTCTGTATACATTTGTTGGCAGTCCTAGGATTTAATTATAGTCTTTATGTTCACTGTTTTCAAATAGGGTAGGGTACCTTTTCCCAACTGGCCTTGGGTGAGAGGCCAAGGATTTAGTGGAGTCTAGCCAAACCACAGGAGTGTTCTTTCAGACCAGAACTGAAATGTGCCAGTGAAGCCACTTTTAAGAGCTTGTGGCCTAGCCACTCAATATGTATGTGTTTTGGAAATAAGTTTCAGGATTTCACTACCAAGAAATAATGAAGCTACTGTTATGGGAAACAAATACATCTCTCACTTTACAAAAGAAGCACAGAAAAGGTGGATTCTCACACATTTTTGCATCAATATGTCAATATATTGTGTTTTCTTTTCCTCTAGAATATATCAGCACACACCTGTAGAGTGAAGCTGGCCTTCTGGAAAGAAGTTCTATGAATTAGCAGCTAACCTGCAGAACAGGAAAAGAAGATTTTTCTCTTCTCAGTATGCACAACAAGAATGCACTGGGAAAATGAACAGTAGAAAGCAGCAGTGAAATAAAGGACAGCTATCTAATGAACTGTTGTCTTGCATTCACGCAGTCCAGCTCAAGCAGCATCTGCAAGCTTGACAAGTTATTTCATTCAGAAGTCTAGATACCCATTTGCTGGCCTTAAGTAATGCAACATATTTATATATTTTGAGAATTAACATGACAACCAGCAGCCGCACATGTCCAGTACCAACAGTGAATGGACATATGAATCACTATCCAACAGCCCCATATCCACTACTTTTTCCTCCAGTCATTGGTGGACTGTCACTTCCTTCCCTTCATGGACTTCAGAGTCACCCACCAACAAGTGGATGCAGCACTCCATCCCCTGCAAGTAAGTGCCCAGTTATCCAGTCTTCAAGGTGGTTTTTTTCTTTCTTTCTAGTTTTCTTTATTAATAAATTAGCACATTATTAATAAAATTATGGTAGGGATAATAACAGTTGTTCACTTGTGATGTCATATGTGCAGTGATAGCTATGAAATACTACCTTTATAGAAACCATTAGAGGCAGGGCTGCTGTTGAAATGTGAGGAAGTCTTGCATTGTCAGTTCTTAGTATCTGCGTTCATATCTTATCATGCCATCACAAGTAAATGCCTCCATGGGAATTATCAACAAACCACAAAAAAAAGTCAACTTCATTAACAACTGGCCACTACTCAATGCAGAGTTTTCTAATGGGTCTGCATAATTAATGGTGCTTTTATGTTTTGTTTTAAATAGCTGCTACTTCTCTGATGTCTGTCCTGCTAAGGTCCCACTTCTGTGGTTCCCTGTACATAAGCTTCTTACTAGGATTCCATGACTGCGGACGTGGGAGTAGGTATTTGAAGCTCACATGCAATGCACGCACATTTTATCTGATATTCCTGGAAAGGCTACAGGAGTTCGACACTGTAGAGTGTGCTGGCCAGGGTGATTTGTTTTTAGCATTTTTAAATGAGTATTTATTATCTGCTAGAACTTACTTTCCTATAATTTTGAGAGAGAGGCCAAGTTATGGTCTTAATAGCATGGGTGTTAATTCTGAGTGACACCATTTAAGGAACATGAATTGGTCAACATTTTTCATTGGTATAACACAGTATAGAGCTATGCCTCATGGGAAGAAAAGCAGTACACAGTAGTGTAGTGGGATTTTGCAAGTGTCATCTGCTTCCCAACTTAACATTTTGTTGTACAAAATTGTTCTTCTCCACAAAGGACATTCCCGTGAATGCTCCATAGGAAGAGGTGTTCTGATTACCAAAAGACTCCATAATTGCAAAGGGCTTATGCAGCAGTGATGTTGATTAGAGATACAGAAGAAAAGTTGTCTTGGCAGCTACTAAAATATGTGCTTGAGTGGAAAAACGTTGACAATTTGAATTTCAGACATGGAAAGAGAAGCATATCATGAAGGAAAGCAGCATTTCATAAACGCTGACCTTGTTTATGCTAGCACCAATTTCATATACATATACCCACAGTATACATAAATTCCAGGTCTCCCAGAAATAAATGAGATTTTTGTTGTCATTAGTATAGCCTGTGTGTAGGCTTATGTTTGACCACCTGTGAGAGTAAGTGTTTTTAAGTTGAGGCCTTTTATTGAACTTCATAATTTCTTTTATTGGGTATTAAAAAGAAATGCCTTGAAGTTGAAAAAATATATCTTAAATTTTTGGCTCTCCAGCCATTTAAAAACAACCTTGGTTTATTACCAGAAGGCTGCATTGAATTTTTACCCTCATAGTGCAAGTATGTTCTTCTGTCGCAGGAGCCAGACAGATTGGTAATTAACAGCAGCTTTCTGGAGACATCCAAAATGTATATTACTGAATTTGCAAAATTATTCTTTTCCACAAGTGTGCTGTAATTAAATTAATATCATATGGAAATCATATCAGTGGCAATTATGGGTGCTTGATTTCTTAAAAAGGTCAAGTCTAATGTGTATTGTAGACACTCAGAACAAGTAGCTGTTTTTGAACATTTGTGTGTCTGCCTCTGCTATCAGAGCTGGGTATCCTGGCTTTCAGGACAGTATTTTCAAAGGAGGATGTCTTAAATTAGAAACCTTTTATTTCTAAATATGCCTCATTTTAGGGCTGCTCTTAGTACCTCCTGCTCACTCTGATCATGAAAATCTGGGTATCTAACATTGTAGGGACTCATGAGGTCAAAATTTTATGATGTTTTTATTTCTAGAATAGAAATTCTTGAAAGGAGTCAGAATGACCATCTCATTACTTGTTCTTCTACTTCCCAAAACTACTAAGCAGTTTGGCATAGTCAGCTCACTAAAAACATGAAACTCCTGACTGGGCACTGGGGGAACACAGGTCTGGAAGGTGAAACTGCACGGGGAAACTTGCCCACCATCTGCCTGAAGCTCTGCACTACGTACGACTATTCTGATTGCTATTTCCCTTCCAGCCTCTTTCAGGAGCTCAAAATTCAACAGGAAATATTTCATGTAATAGGAATTCTGTAAAGAATAAAGATTTCTGGTCCCTGTAGCCCTTTTAAAAGAATGCAATTTATCAGCTTTTGTTCAAAGCTATCAACATTGCTACAGTTACGCTGAAAAACTTTGTATTGTTTTGCTGTATTATTTTGTTCTGCCTTGACTTCAGCATCTTTCTGTTATAGCAGGTACCTATAAATTCAGTCATCTGGTTTCTACAGTTGGGACTGATACAGAAATGAGAGAGGCCATATCACCAGCCTCTTTCTCCTATTAAAGAGACAAAATGCTTTTAGACAGATTAACTTTATGAGCATAAGTGGCCTCTAATAAGAGAACTGTGCTATAGTGATTTAATTTAATTGATGTTGATAATGGTGTTGACTCCTTGACCTCTGTGACCTGACTTCTGTTTTTATACTGAGATACACAGTGCAAAATACTTAATAATTAGAAGGTTGGTCACAATGCTAAAAAGGTCAGTAGAAGGAAAAATATTACCTTTACTCATAGGTGAACTATATATTAATGTTGAAGGAATAAAAGAGTTACCATGGGCAAGAAGATCATTATTTTTATAAGCCTGATTGATTTAGTCCAGGCAGCACAAAGCAGACATTTTCAGTAGTCACCGTTGGGATTAGTCAACAGTATTTGTGCTTATGCAGTATTTGTGAGGGGGGAACCATCAACCTTTCACTATTTAAATTAATAAAAATATTTGAGTTGGTTTCAGGACATTACTACAAAACTGATTTAGCAATGGCATTTCCTGCTCCAGTAAGCAGGGAACTGGGCTTCCTGCAGCTTTGAACCCATGAAAACCATATTGCATGGATATTACTCTTTCTGGATGAGAATTCAGGTTTGGTATCAAGTAAGAAGCCAAGTAAACAAGGAAGAAAATTACTCTGAGCTCTTCATCGTCTTTGATAATATTGAAGTCGTGCACCAGCCTTTCACAAGCAGTAAGACTATCTTTTGTAATTGCATCTTTGTTTTATTCTAAGTAAAAGCTCTAATAAAGCAACACTACCAATCAATCCTACAACACGGTACCTAAAACAAAATTGGTAAATAAGAATGGGGAAAGAGGATTACTTGTATAAATTGTGAAAATAAAAGCTTCTTAAAACCAGTTTAAACTGGTGGGCTTAGTGTAAAGGCACATTTTCAAGTCAGGTATTCTGGTGGTATGCTGTCTGTCACCGATCCTGTTCCACCATTGTCGTTTATCATTCATTGGAAAAGTGCTTCGTGTCAAAACAAAACCCAATCTCTTCAAAATATTTCCTTTCCCCCACAAGTCTGTGTTCCTCCTAAATGAGGCAGTCCACAAAGCAGCAAGCCGTTCGCAGGTATGTGATGGTCCACCTTTTACTTTCTGACTCATTGCTCCATCTTGAACCTCAGGCACTTAATCGTGAACTTGTATCTTCAGGATCCCAAGGAAGAAAGGCTGGTGAGGGAACATGACCCTGATATTAGAAGTGTGTCCTGGACTTCTGCATAAATTTACTAATGTACCTGGTCTGTATAGTAGCCAATTCTGATATGCCCCAAACCATCTGTATAAGAACAAAGTCAAATCTTTCTGATATATATAATCTAGGTTAACTAAGCACATCCATACTTTCCAGTGTTTGGAGTTTTACAAATGCAATCTTAAAGTAGCATGTCCTATCTATTCTATTCTGCATAGGTCCTTCAGACGCATGGAGATGCCTAGAAAATAAAATCATCCAAGAATCTGGAAGAGCAGGGAATAGAATTCACTCTGACATTCCTTTTTGACAGTGTTATGTGAATCCTAAATACTATATTTAGCAGTTGATACTGTGCGCCAAACTTTTAGAAATTCTTAGGCTTGGCAAATTGTTTCTAAAACTGTATGCTTGCTTAGGATTGACTTTGCATACATTGTTGCTGGATATTTACAACCTGAACTTTATCTCAGCGGTAGGTGTTCTTTTTTCTGGGAATGAATACTGACTGAAATGATTAAACTAGTACAGTAGAATGTAGTATTCCTCATATATTACAGCATGATATTTTTGCCAACCCCACCTCTTGTAAGAATTCATTTACTTTTCCAGTTCACTTGTTAATCATTATATTGACACAGAAAGTCTTCCCAAAAGCACTGTTTGGTAGATTGCATTAAATATGAATAGCAGATATTCATTACGATATGTTGCCCTTGAGAGAGCTCTAAACTACCCACACTGTTCGGGAACAGGCAATACACTAATTCTCTAGCTATTCAAATTATTTTGAAATAGTTCAAAGTCTCTCTGATAAAAACAAGACTACATCTCTGTTTCTCTTAATTACTTAGAAGGTCAAGGACTCCCAGATCCCACTTTACCTAGCAGTATTATGAAAGGGGAATGTTTCTATTGGAGGATGGAGCACAGTTAATACATGATGGATTTTTCTTTGCTTATACAATTCTTGGTGCAAGCATTGTCTTCATATTTTTTAGTGGACTGACAACACAAAGAACTTTTTCCACAACTGCACATTAATTTAATAATGAAATCTCTGTAGTGAATTAGAAAAAGAAAAACAGTGCGAGTTAAAACTTTAAAAAACTTCCTCTGTTTATGTTGTTCAGTAGTTACAGGTTTCATACCATTCTCTTTGTCCATTTGCCTTTCCTTCCATTAAATTGCAGTTAGTTTGAAAACTTTCCATGTATTTTGCCATTTGCACATCTCTTCAGTTACCAGCAGTCTTTAGACTTCTCTGGGTTGTGTGCATTCCTTTTTTTAAAAAACATAGGGCCACTGTTTGTAGTCAGAAGGGGAAGAGGAAAAAAATTCAATATTAAATCCTTAATGTATATGTCAGTGTAGTGTGATGCTGGCAACTTTGATGA